TTTTAATAAGTGGAATATTGTTCTGATCCTTACCTTCTGCTTTGCTGATAGAGCTTCCTTGCATGCTGTGCTGTACATTTCCATGGTTTTCTGCAGCTCGAGCTTTAGTCTTCTCATTTCAGCTTCCGCATCATCCTACAGTTTTATTTTTTCCAATCAACTTTGCTAGTAAATATCATTCTAAAGTCATCTTCTTTTTTTTTTTTTTTCCTTTTCTTGTTTCAACTGCTCAATGCTCACAGAGCGCATTTGTAATTGAAAAGAGAAAAATAAAATCAAGGGTGTATATTGTAATTGTAGAAGCTAACTTTTTTTTTTTTCATGCATATTAAGCTAAACCTGAGGCAAAATAGGTTATATGCATCCTACAAATAATTTCTTTAGTTACATTTTCGAGCGAAGAGGTCGAAAAAGCAGTGCACGAGCTCATGTCACTGAGCTTCGTCCCATGGCAAGCGGATGACCCCAAACTACTCTCAGAGCTTATCGACACTCTCGAAGTGCGGGCCGAATCCAAGCCATCTAAGAATGTGGGCCCCATTTCCATCATCATTGCCCTGTCGGTGCTCGGCCGGTCGGAGCTTATGAAAGATATATCTGTATCGGTTTCTGACATGTCAAACATGCTTGCATTGTACCCTCTCGCCATAAACGGCGACCTGTCAGTACATGAATGCTTCACATAAAAAAAGAGTAATATTTAATCAATGCAAATTCATATACATGAGATGAGACCTACCTGAGTAAATCTGACTCATCAACGCCACTCTTACGTGGGGTCGATCTTCCTGAGCCTGTTCGAGAAATTTCACGTGCTTTTAGCGTTTGTCTCGCTGGATCAAACATGAAAAATAAGATTTTAGAAGGAAAAAAATAAAATCTAAACATTGAAAGTTGCAAATCCACTATTGAGTTGTTCTTCCGTTCACATTTAGCCCCAACAGTTAATAAATTCACCGGAATTTACATTTTACACCCTTAGGATGTGTATGTTTATCAATGATTGCAACTCATAATCAAAATTTAACTCAACTTTAATCCAACCCTACTATTCTCAATGTTATCAATATAAGTAAATAATACTAACCAATCATTCTTACATATTTAATTCACTATTTCATCCACTCATATAATTTTAACTAACCATCGGTTCACATCATATCTCTCATACTTTTACATCAAATTAACTTTAATTATTTTATTTAAATATTATTTTAACATAAACTTGAAATCTCACTAACTAACAATACCAACTTGTTCAAAATTAACTATGGTTAACAAAAAAACTCGTTTTCAGTGGATATATTTGTATATAGCACGCCCTAACTTCCCAAATATTACAAAATCTCATTTGTAATGTATCAAAAATCCGAGAGGTATCATAGTGGAAGTTTGCAATTTCTGTATAATATACGTAAAACATAAGACAAAAAACCTTTCATGCTAGGCCTGTTCTTGGGCTGGCGGTTAGGTGGCGGATTAATAGCGCTGGCTTCCTGCTGCATTTGCTGTATTTGGGTCATGAGGGGGGACGTGAAAGGGGCTATTCGATATGCGTTCCGAACGGACGAAATTTTCGATTTTGAGATGACATAAACAGTGCAGAAGTCAGGTGCTGCTTTAGATACACTGCTCGGGACATCCACCGTCTTGAACCTTCTGCTAGACACAACACAGCAGTCAGCATTCACAGTTACTCATCACATAATAGAATGTTCGGCGGGAAAATAATTTTCTTAGATAATTGCAAAGATTTTAATATACGGTTTTGTTTAATTACAAAGTAATTAAACCTGATAATAAGGTGTTTTAACCTGATAAAGCCATGACGGGATGAGCCAAGAACCAAGTTCTCGATAGCAGCCTGGGCAACATAATCTGTTATTGCTTTTGAGATATCAACGTCCTCCAATACCACATCAAAGCACAGTATCTGATATACAAAAATCGCTAGCAAAAATGAGGGGAAAAGAACAAAAAAGACCTAACAAACAGAGTATATATTCAACTGCCAGACCATAAGGATAGGATGAAAGAAGAGCCAATATAAGAATATTATCTCGGGCTTACATCTTTACGAGTACAAAAGCAATGATAGGTGAGGAACAACTCTTTGGTCTGCTTATCAAGTATTTGCTTGTCGGAACCAACAGCTCCATTGACACCACCATCAATCGAATAAGCGTGACAATCTGCATAATTGTTTTTTCATGATATGCAAAAAAATAAGCCGAACGAGCCTATAAATCCTTTTAAGTTTAATAGCATCATTATTAGTGTAACTTTTATCTGTGCCTATACTCGAACCGGAGCATGTCACCATTATAAAAGGCAGTGTTCTTCTAGGTACCTTTAAAGCCAACATCCCATATAACTAGCTTCATATGTTGCCCCAAATCTTCATATAAATCACACACAAAGAATCTCATCATATAACCCTCTCTGCTTTAAATTCACCCCGAATAAACGTTGTTATTGTACACAACAACAAACCGGTGTAAACATTCACCCTTTAATTCCTCATAAATTAATCACAAACTTTTCGGACATGTCATCCAATATCAAAAAACTAACTACACAAACATAACATCAAGAAATTTAGAATTTGAAAAGGAAAATATGAAAACATGCGCAAAACGAGTACATCCATGCATCGAGCTATGTTTTACGTATATACGAACCGGGCTTCTGAAGGACGTGAATGAGAATGACGATCTGGGCCTTGGTAAGGAGATTGTCGATAGCCCATTTGATCGCATGTTGGCTTGCTTTGTTATTGTCCACTGCAACAGCAACGAGCCCATTGCGGCCGCCCTTTTTCCCCAATGTACTGCCTTTCGCATTTGGAAGCCACATTTTGTCGAACACAAAATGTGCACTTGCAGGGATCTCTGTTTTTGTATTATCTTATGATATATACAGAGACCCTTTCTTCCCCACCCCCTTCTTCTTCTTCTTCTTCTTCTGTTTCTTGGGTTTTTGTTTGGTATAGTTTGGTGTGTTCGAAAATTTTATTGGCTGAGATATGTAAGGGGACATTTAAGGAGAAACAAGTAAAGGGTGCTCCTGAAATATCTCAAATCTTCTTTTGATAGTAAAGGAAAGTAGAAGAACAAAATGCTGATGGTCTATAATCAATTGTCCAGAATGTGGCAAAGACGAAAAACAAAAATTGCATCAAAATTCACTGAACTTATATAGTTTTGAGTATTAAGAAGGTTCGTGCATGGACTTCGGTTTAAAGAAGGTGATGATTTGATCCGCTATGAGGTCCCGTTACGGAACCATTCATCATTATAATAGTCGATTTAACGATTTTAAACCTCGATGGAATGGTCTGGAACGGGACGTAGCATCTTCATATATGATATATGTAATTTGTAATCCCATGTCAATTTTTCAAAATTTATAATTGATCTAAACTTTTATATATCTAAATAGCAATTATTAAATTTACAAAATACTTTACTAGCTTAAATAATTAATATATATCAAATGATGATCATTTTTGTGTTTATTAAATGCATTTCATAAATAATAGTATCAAATTAATTATATCTAAACAAGTTTGAATTTCACATCCTTATTTTTTTTTTTTTTCGGAACGATAGAG